ACTGCCACTGCGGCTTCTGCCGCTGCGGTCTCTACAACTACGGGCTCTACAAGCGATACGACTGCGGCTTCGAAGGCAAATGATGTTGCCTCCAAACCATCGGCCAATCCCGATTCGACGCCAATGCCAGCAATGAACGACGATGTTCAGATTCACCTGAGCGAACTCATCGCTCAGTTTGCAACGGACAACCAAGATGATCTCGACGCTGCAACCTTCCAAAGCTTGACAGCCCCGGAAACGCTCCGTAGTATCAGCAGCAAGGCTGCTCTGAGCTTGTTGAAAGTCGAAGACGCTGTCGTTACGAATACCGAAGGCTCGACCGCCTTGCAAGACCGCTGCGTTGCTGCCATGGCTGCCAACTGGAAGGATGTTGGTGCGTCCCTCACGTCGGATCAGGGACTCGCGACACTGAAGCCCCCCGTTCTAGCGAAAGTCGTGGCCAAGTAACTCGAGTATGCTACGACCGATTTTTTGAAGGCCGAGAAGGACATTGAAGACACGGAAAGTTCCCATGAAACTGTCACGAAACAGCTCCAACATGATCTCGAACAGAAGACCAACCAATTGAAAGATTATCGTGGAATGTGGTCTCATGCGCTCGATCGTTGCGATAAATTTGAGAGCCAACGCGATGATGCGGAGTACAAAGTCAAGAGAATGCTGAGTGAGCTTGATGCCACAGTACCTGACTTGGAAAAGATTCGTACCATTGCCACGGATACGAAGAAAGCGCCATATGGTTACAGTACGACTACATGTAAATGAAAGAGAAGTTCTGGGGCCCGAAAGGACAACCAACGAAGCAATTTCAGCGTGCACGCTGACACGATTATTATGCTCAAGGATGAATTCAGACTCAGAAACAAACCTTAGAATTAAGCATTTTAATCGAAAGGAACTAAGTGCTAGCTAGATAAAAACCAGATAATCAGAAATTGGAAGGATGAATGCATGCAGTTAGTTTTACATGGCAGTTGGGAGATGGCTGTTACGGAGGCAACTGCTGCTAGTTGATCAGTGGCGGTCTTGGTTTACGTTGGTGTCTTAGCTCGCCCGTTCCCGTCTGAATTGGCTACTGCTAGACCTAGCTAGCTATCGTGGAAGAAAAAACATGGCTAAAAGAGGATTGATCCCGAGCTTCGCACTTTTCTCATGTTGTTGTTGACAAGCCTGGCACCACTGGACGTTCGCGGCATTCCCGCTGCATGCCCCAGCAGCAGTTTTCCAGAACTTGACGTCTTGGTAAACGTAGATGTACCAGCAGCAGAAGAAGACGCTGCCCCCTTCATTAAGCCCGCCAAAATTTGTTGGGCATCCAGGTTGGCAGACTTTCCAACTCCCTTAAAGGTAGCATTCTTACTTTGACCTAGACCGGCAGTAGTGTCTTTTTGTCGACGACGTCTTGCTGCCTTTTGGAGTGATCCGGGAGATGTTGGGAACAAGGAATTGAGTTTACTCATGGCGGCCGAGGGTTCCTTCTTGGCGGTAGTATTGGCCGTGCCACTAGTCAGCGACCTGCCACTGTCGCTCATTCCCTTTTCCTTCATTTTGGCAAAAGCGGTCTGAAAGGCCAGCATGGCAGGAGCACTGTGACGACGATGTTGGACGCCCAATGTCAATATTGGACAAGGCTTGGTTTTAGTGGCAGAGGGTAGCGCCGTCAAGGAGGCATGATGGACGTTCTTGACACAAGAATCGTGTTCGGCGGTAGGAATCACATTTCTCGGGATGCGAGGAGGCGCGGGAGGGAGCGGCGCTTCTTCTCCCAACACGGATTTGCTGGTAGCAAACGTTGGCGTCGTGGCCATGGCGTCGATCAGAGAGAGGGCCATCGTGGAGGTTATTAATATAAAAAGATAATGAAAGTTTTAGTTTTGTGTCAATGATGGTCGATAACAGAATAATGGAATACCGAGAGGATGAACTGGGCAGGGCTATTGAGAAGAAAGAGGACTGTTGGAGTGCTAATTGCTGCTGACTCTGCTGACTGCTGGTACACTGCTGGTACCGTTCAGTAGCTCGTTCAGTTCTCTGGGATTGACCTCTGCGAATGAAATGACCATTCAGTAAATAAGAATAGATACCCGAGAAATAGACGCCGCTCGGTGGTCAAACAACCAGTTCGGATGCGATCGTCTTTCGGGCTACGAAACCAGTCGTAGCCTTGACACTTGACACTGTACCTCTTGAAAATCCTGTAGAGCTGGAATGTTGGTGGTTTGTTATGACTTCACCAAGCAGGCAGGCTTTCCACACCCACCACAACTCCGAATGGGCCGGAAATCTTGATGTACAAGTAATTTGGCTTCATACTTGGGTTTCGATTTTATATTTGGGTTTCGATTTTATATTTAGGTTTTGATTTTATATTTAGGTTTCGGATTGATTTTACTAGTTATTTACCATAGTAATTTGGTTTCGGTTTTATATTTAGGTTTCAGTTTTATATTTATTTAGGTTTCGATTTTATATTTTGGTTTGGAATTGATCAATTTAATTGGCTTCTTAAAATCCTGATTTTGGGCCCTTTCTCCCACCACCCTTGTGTTGACTTTTGGTACTGGTATTGGAAGAACAAGATGGTGCCTGGTAGCATGTAGCATGGTAGCAGATGGTACACTACGGTAGGAGAATCTCTGATGAGCTGGTTGATGGACTGTACTCTGAGATCCGAGTAGAAACAGAGAAAGGTGGCACAATGGCACAATGTAGGTCTAGTTTCAGTTGGCATCCTTTCTTCCCAAAAGCAACGGAGTCAAGGAATTGGACCGAAGCCTTCATGATAATAATCTAGTAAGAGTACCATTCTTCCTCCCTTCCAAGTAACAAGGCCAAGCAAGGTGCCTAAATAGAGAGTACTGGTACCGGTGGCGCCCTTACTTAATGCAGCCTTCTATCTCTGCGTTGGTGCGTTTTTCAATGGATTTGGTTGGCACCAAGGAGGCCCTTTCACGGTATTTCGATCCACAGAAGGTCAAAGTATTGGTACAGAAAGTACAGCCGGACCGTCGTGCCGACATCGGCCTACCGCTGTAGAGCCACAGTACACTACCGCTGTAGAGCCATTAGCCAATCAGAATCAATCGTTCGATCTTTTCGATGACGTCACCGACGACTGACGTCAGTCGTGCACAGGATTCGATTCCCATCTTTCTCTGTGTCAGCTCGATCAGTCTCTCGTGGTGTTGTTTTCGTGTTGTTTTCGAAAGACCGACGGAGCATGCATCCAGAGGATTACCCACGGTCCAGAGGATTTCGAATTTGAGCGAGATAGTGAAGCAAGACCATACAACCGAGGTCATCCCGTCCGTATTCAGTAGCCACAGAGGTACTTACCGCAAGCCGAGGATATAGCCGCTTTCATCGCAATCCGAGGAAGCTGTATTCATCGCAATCCGTATTCAGTAGCCACAGAGGTACTTATCACAAGACGATGAGTGCGAGTAAGAAAGAGGCTCCGGCTTGTATCGACCACTATATCCGGAGCATGTGCTCGTCTGGAGGACGCTTCCCCAAGGTGGACGACAATGGCTCCAGTGGCCCCAGCCATCACAGTTGCGCCCAATGCTTCAGTGGTCAATCCAACCACGCCTCCTGGGATCAGGCTGCCAGGAGACAGCAGGACAACACCACAATCTGCCAGCCCAACCACCATGCACGGCCTTCAGAACAATTGGAGCAGGAACCAGAGCCCCATGTCCCTCTATCAGGTCAGTGTGGTCAACCAGTGGTTGGATTCTTCAAAAAAACTGAGTACAAAGCAGGAAGAAGTCTTCCATAACTCAGTCAGGCATGCAATCGAACACTATGGTAGCGCCGCCAACATGGACAACGTTGCCGAGCTCGCTGCCGAATCATTCGATCGAATGCACTTCAACATGATGGGGCAGGGCAACGCTGGTCTCAGGGGTAGGCTGAGGCCCCAGCATGCCAAAGCTTTGCTCAGACAGGGGGGTATGCTGGTTCAGATGGCCGCCATCAATCAACATGCCACTGGAAAGAGAAAGGCTGCTCCGAAGCAAGGCGGTCTGACCAAAGCCAAGCTGTTGGACTCCTCCACAAGCTTCGCAGACATGAAGAATTGGTCCAGGGTCCTGGGAAAGTCCATCAAAAAGACAAAGCCAGAGATGAAAGAGGTTCTGCTGCAGTGCTTTGAGGGCCAGCCAGAAGGCCATGTGTTCCACTCCCATTAGCTAGCTTGGTGGTTGGGCCCCAAGGGCCCAATCTTTAAACTTCTAAGCCCCATGCGGGGGCCCATCCTTTCAACTTCTAGCTTAAAAAATTTTCGCTGCAGGGCACTTTGGCACCCAGTAGTCGTTAGTCTGCACCGTACTAGTACCCGTGCCAGTACTACATGGCAGCATGCGGTTGAGCTGGCAACATGGAACAGAACGAACTGGGCGACCCTTTGACCATCCTGCAGAGCTGACAGAAGAATCACCGTTTCTAAGAGTTTGAAAGTGATCCTCCGACTTCCGGAGTGTGTCCTCGCTTCGGTTGGATTGGAAAGAATACCTCACAGAACTGCACTTTTGAAGCCATCAATGGGCTAGCTAGCTAGTCAACTACAACTTAAATGTAGTTTTGGCAGCCAGCTTGATAGAAAAACATTCTCGCTTTCTTCCCTTCCTTCTCAACCAGCAAGCCAGAAGGACGTGGTCATTGCTATCCTGCCGGTACCAGTACTTCTCCAACGGGAGAGCGATGCTTCATGCACTATGGTAGTAGGATACCGCGTACTGTACCGTGCGTGGCAAGGTTGAAGGAAACGCTCTAACTACAGTAGTCCTCCGAGTCCAAGTCTACCGGTATCCTAGACGACGGTACCAGCTGAGGTACCATCAACCTCAGAAAAGATGGAACACAAATCCACTGGTCAGTCCACAGAACGGCAGAGCTGCGAAACGACTTGTTGCGAGATGCCATTTGAATCATGGTTCAATCGAATGATGAATCGAATCGAATCGATCCTGCCATGTGACGCCGAATTTGTCCGCGCAACCGTTTTGATCTTGTGAACTGAAGCCGCCAAAAATTTCCACGTTCAACGTCGGATGAGCTTCACACACCAACAAATCTTCCAAGTTGACCCTTCAACCTGGAATGGGATGTAAAAACGGAGCAGTGTGTCAGATCTAGCTAGTTACGACGTAGTTGAGCCTTGTGGTGGCTGACTTGCCTCCAGCGACAAGGAAAGGTGCTTGGGTAACACCAGATGCCCAAAAAGGCAAAGAGACGTAGCAATCTTGACAGGGTAGTGTTGGCCCTCTACTAGCTCCGCGTGCAGGACGGAGGAGCTGCTTTCGGTCAAAGGGATCTGTAGCGTTTTCGAAGAAGTCTATGTTATAACATTACTCTAGCCAAATTATTAAGAATAGTTCGCGTGATCAAGGTGCGGGTGATTTATTCAAGTACTTTAGATAAGCATCGATAGTAGGTCCGTGGCAGGACACTTTCCCGACAGCGTTTTACTCGTTCTTTAGCTTGTCCGTTGCTGGACCCTTGCAGGACGACGCCGAAGATACGCTAGCGTCATCACCCTGACTACAGAAGGATGAGACAAACGAAGCCCGCTTGAGCTCTGGCGCGTGATCCCAGGTACCCGACGCCAACTTTTCTCCAGATATTGCCTTGATGGGCACCGTTTCGTCGTCTTCTTCCGCGATCGGAGACCACGGATCGACCACAAGGGAAAGCTGCAGAGCAGCCGAGACAACCATCAACACAAAGATGGAAGAGAAAGCGTCCCGCATACTGTTGCAAAAGAGTCAGTAGAGAATATGGTTAGCGCAGGCACGTGGATAATTCAAGAGAAGACAGCCAATGCACTGCAACTATGTACTCACGTCATGTAGTTGGTCAACACGACTCCCACCGACACGGAACAGTTGACAACAATGCGCGGCAAGGTCAAAATGGAAGCGCGACCTTCCGCGGGGAAGTAAATGGAGCGAAGGACTCCCTCGCATGGCAAGTAGAGTCCAACAATGAACTCGTAAATAAGGAATGCCACGAGGCAAATCGAAAAGGAGTGTTCTCCCTCCCCATCAAGGAGGCATGGAAGCAGAAGCAAAAATGCGGAAGCCAAGTAGCAAATTGTAGACAAGGCTTCGACGGCCATCGGTCTGTCGTCATTGGTTTGTTCTCCATCCCGACCGAGCTGAGAGACGACATTGGTGTCGTTGTATTTCATCATCATGGCAGTGGATAATTGACGAACCCAGGGCGCTGTGAGTCCACCAAGGACGCCGGCCGCCATAAAAGCACCAAAGATGAGGCCATACGCCGGTTCCCCATTGCCATCAAGACCAATGGATCCCTGAGGAGCACTCGTGGCAAAGTGACGAAGGGCTGGCGACCACAAAAAGATGAAAATCTGAATGGATGCACATGTCAATCCCTGAATGATTCCAAGGCGCAAGACCTTGTTGTCGTTTTTGAACGCCGTGACGGCATCGTCCATAAACTCCCTCATAGACTTGAGCTCCTGATCTTCACCGCATCCATAGTTTTCCGCCCATATAAACATGATTACGACCAGAGCAATGGACGTGCACGCCACGGCGCCTTCAAAGGGTCCCTTGGGCCCGTAGGTTTCGGCTAGGACATGCGCCAGATACCCCGACCCAATGGCGGCCAAGTTGGAGACAATGACCGAGTCTCGCATAATGATTTCGTAGCCACCCTTTTTTTGAATGCCTCTACGACGGTACTCCGTGTCGAGCCAAGTGTCAAAGACAGTCGAAAGGAGATTGGTGGTAATCCCCCCAATCATGCGCGAGATAATGAGTCCGGCCAAAATGGGGTACTGCTCCAATCGGTTAATGAAAATCTCCAAGAGACAATACAGAATGGCCGACTTTTTGCGGCCTAGCTTGTCCACGAGAGGACCCGTAATGGGAGACGCTAATCCTCCCGTGACAAAGCCCAGGCAGTACAGATTGGCCACCGTAAAGCCGTAGCCTTCGTACAAGACATATAGGTGCGTTCCTATAGTAGAGGTACATGGAGGATAATGGAGATCACAAACAAACGAGCAAGTGGTTAATAACTGGCTATAGAGATAACACATCATGGGTAGCTACCCATCAACTCCACTCAGCTCACTAGTAGTCTTACCTTGCAGTCCATCCGCCAGCATGACGACTAGGGTAACAATGAGATAAGTGATCCTCAGCGACATGAAGGAAGCATGATCTTGCTTTTCACTAGTAGCAGCGTCGTCTGATGATGCCATCAGAGCATTATCCTCGTCGACCGTAGAGCAGATGGAGTCCTCTGAGCTCTGTTGACTCGTCGTGGCAAACGACTTGTCCGACAACGAGCTCTCATCTCCTTGACTACTACTACTGGTATAGCTCATGCTACCCGCTTGAATCAAGTCCAGTGGTAGTGAGGCACTGCTCATTGTCATCATGCAAGAGATTAGGATTAACAAAAAGAGTGTGAGGAAAATAGTAGTAGTAGTATGCATCAGTAGTAGCCATCAGCTAGCCAGCTAGCCAGGTGCTCCATCGAAGCAGATGACACGCGAAATTTGAATCAAATTTTTGCTACGTACGGCTTCTTCAACGCCCCACAAAGAGCGATATCCGCAGGTTCAACTGGGTGTATCGGAGGTTCTTCAAAGTGGCTTCTCATGGTGCTTGCTTGTTCTTTTGCTTACATTCACTTCTATCTACGTATTGTAATATTGTGGACAACTACCTTTGGCAAGCAAAGCAATGAACCGACAACAACGCTCCAAACTTTGGTGGAGTCGAGAAATGTTGATGTGCTACTACTAGCTAGCCACCGAGCACTGATAATAATGTACGAGAGAAGCCAGCAGCAAACGAGGTTCTTGCTTGCTGGTCTGGCGGCTTCCACCCATCACTTGCATGCGGCACGCTTTGCCAAGGAGTTGTAGCAACAAATTTTCGTGCAAGATGCCGACCGACGTTGTCGTGGACGCCTACGGGAATCGTAGTACTAGCGTCACTTAGACGCTGGCCAAAGATCACTTGTCTAAGTCGTGTGCCTGTCAAAAATTGGGCCAGATATTGTATTTAGGCCACCAGCTGCACGTGCGTATCCGGTGGTGCAGATACCATCTTTTTTATTAGAGGCAGCGACACGTGTTGCATCCAGTGAGACACGAGGACGGAATTTGATTAGAGTGTGTGTGGATGCCAGATTTCAAATCATGGTTTGAATAGACGCGGGAAGCTTACACAACCACCAACTTTCAACACCGCTGGGATGTCGCAAGGACAGCAATCGGAACAATGACCTAATTCGGCCAGTCCCGCAAGCCAACGGGAGGGGAAGATCTAATTTTGTGGTCTAACGGTCCGCTTTCAAAAGACAAGGATTCCGGCTCTTCGCCAAATCTTTTTGCATCCGGTGAGGTGTGATTTGGAAATCTAGTAGTTTGTTGCCAGATGGGAGAGAACAGGAGGTATGGATATGGTATCTATCATAACTAATAGCACTCTCACCGTTTGCTGCATTCGACAGCTGGGATACCACGACACAAGATTCTACCATAATCCATCCAACCACAGGGTGAAAAAGAAGCAGAGGTGCGCCACTTTTCTCATTGCCTGACTGGCACTCCATAGCTTCTGAAATTAGGCTCGGAATACAACCATGTTCTGAAATACCATAGGTCAGGCCATGGTTGCTCGTCCCTCGTGTGAAGCTGCACTTGTGGCTAGCTAGCTAATACGTAGAGAGGCAAGATTTTCTAGGCACTCGTTCTGTAGCATGTACTCGGAGGCAGTGGTGGAATTGAATATCCTTTCTTGGGCGAGGCCGCAGCAACGGAAGCACTTCTTTCATTCTTTCTGGCAGATACGGAGCCGTTCCATTGAGAGGAACTTTCCTTCACATTTGGTATCAGATTTCTAGTACAAGTCAACTCCCACGTCCTTGTTTTTGTTTGCTGTTCCGAAATGAGCTTCACAGAGGTACGGGGAGGTGAACGGTGTTCTTTTGTGACTTCAACCGGGATCTGAGCTGTGTCAACCTACAGCTACTCTTATTATGTACAGTAACATTGCTGCCCTCATTGCTCATTGTTTCTTTGGCGACGTGCTTCTGGATTTCGTCGTTCCTCATGAAACGTATCCTTCTCAATCTCAATGTCACTAGCGCTGTCACTGAAAACCATGAGAAGCCAAACTGCAAAAGATTTTCGAGAACCGTGTCTTGATGTTCCTTCCGAGTATTTCTACATGTCTCTAAAATACCAGCGAGAAGCCTATTGCTTGCACCTGTTCCGAAGATATCTTGATGAGCTCCATGATACAAGAAGCATGTTCCGGTAACAAGCTTGTAATTGTCACGGGCGGCTTCCCATGTCGTTCCGTGGGAAGGAAAGAAAGCACCTGTGTCAGCACGAGCCATCGGAAGGAGCCGATCATGTATCCGATGAACACGTGCGGGCCCAGCCAGGGGAGGTTGGCTCCTAATAGGTTTGGAAATAATAAGCAACTTGGCATCGGTCCTGATTGCTTTGAAGGAACTCGACCTCGACCACGACGATTCCACAGGCGGAAACTGGCTAGCTAGTGGATACGATGACAGCAGACGTCGGCGTGCTTGCGTATAATAGGTTTACATTCGTTTTATGTGTAGGTAGACGAAACATAGATGTCATGCAAATGCACTCGTGTTCTTTTTAGTTGCTCTCCCCTGTTCGTGTGGGGATGATCAAGTGCAACACAGACAACAATCCCAACGTCATGACCACCCGAACATTCTTGACTACGCGTCGAACTCGATCCAGAGCCTTTCCGACCTTTTTGGCCAAGGCTTGCAAGGGCTTGACCTTGGGTTCTGGGGTGGATGTCACTGCGGTTGGCTTGGCAAGGATGCCATCACGCCAGCATTCAAAGCAAAACTCGACGACGGGTTCGATGCTCTGTGCAATCCCATCCAACACGAAGTTTTTGACTGGCTCGGGTGTGCTACTAGTAGTAGCAGTGGATTGTTGCGTTTTGGTAGCAGCATTGGGAGCCATCACAGTCGACTCGGCTTTCAGTACCAGAGCCGTGAACACTGGCTTGGGAGGTGGTGACGGCACTGGTGCAGCTGTTGGGATACCGGTAGGAGGCGCAACGACCGAAGGGTGTGCCCTTGAGATTGGAATCCTAGACGGTGGGGCCTTCACGCTTGGAACTTTGGTGGGAGCAGGGCGTTTGCGTCGCTTATTTCGAGCCATGGGCATGGGATCAACAACGGGCGTTGCTTCATGAGGAATGCGTGCTCGACCAACCAAGCCATTCGACCATACTGCGTACGCCACAACCACAATAGCAAAGAGAAGGACTCGCAAGACTCCACTGCCAACGTTCTTAACCTTTCTCTTCCCGGCTTCAGCGGCAGGAGAAGCTGGAAGGCTTCGTGCTGTCGTGGTCACCGCCATCCCAGCGGCCATGGCCGCCAATGGATACGACTCCAAAAGCATAGCCTCATCCATACGGTCGTCAGTAGCTGCTTCCTGTTGCTCCACAGCTTCCACCGAGAGTGCGGACAGGCGCTCCCACTTGCTGTCACCATCGGTATCTCCGTCATCAGAATCATCATCCTCGGAAAGGGGCTCTTGTTGTGTTGGTGGAGTAGCTTCCGCTTTGGAAGGAACCCAATTGACAGAGACGGTTGGTTCCAATGCCCAGGCTGGAGTTGTGGGGACAACATAGGACGTCTTTGCAGCTTGCACCAATGCAGCGGGTGGTATTTGTTGCCTGTACAACAAGCCACGTAAGTAGAGTTAGAATCGGTGTACGTTAGTCACATGCAACGATGATGCACACATTGGCTTGGTACGGCACAGTACAGTACTTACATGTAGTCTAGTCCCAGTGCCATCCACGCCTCGACATTCTCCATGGTCCATGGTTCCCCTTTTGGAATGGCCGCTGCAAAATACAATGGGAAGAGTGGATGGCTGACCAAAAAGGCATCCACGAGCCGCGATGTAGTTTGCACGTCGGCGACACCATCACTGAACCAAGTTCCCGCGTGGGCAGCCATGGATGGAGGCTCTTGCAAGTGGAGCTGATCGACAATGACAGACACCATTTGCTCCAACGAAGCGGCGCCACTCAAGGCAGCCGACAAGGAGTATGTGGTCATGCGAGCGAGCACTTGACTGGCCATGGACGATTCACTATCCAAGTTGATGACTAGCAACGCGGCCAAATTGGCCAGACTGGGTGCATGTTCTGCTTGAGAGGCATTGGCAAGCACCGTGGCAATCAAGGCTCGATCATATTCCGAAGGTTCGTCCATCAGAGTGTCTGCCTGACTGGTAGTGGTGTCGCTGGAGGAACACGGCGACGACACCATGGCAGGAGCATCCAATGGCACATTGTACCAGAACTGTTCCGATTGCGCCATCTTCCAACACAAGCCTTGCACACTCTCGGTTTTCTGACTAGTGTCGTCCGGCGACACTGGGGACGACGACGAGAGCCCCAACAAGAGCGGCCATGCCACACGACGCAGCGACGGTTGCAAGAGTCCACCGGGAGACAATGCCAACTGCCGCAACTCCCACAGATCCACCGTGCCACTCCCCTCGTGAAGCTGCAAGCAGTCTCGAATTTCTTGGGCCTTGTCCTCTTGGTGCAGGGTGGATTTGTTGTTGTTATGATTGGACGATGAATCCACGACAATCACTCTGCCACCGAGATCATTATCGTCATCTGTTCCGGCCAAAACAACTTCCATGGTGATGAATGAATGAATGAGAGGAGAAAAGAGGTCGGATCCCAAAAAACGAGAAGTGGTGGTCTTCTTCAAATAATTCTATTGAATACTACTTGGATTGCTCCAAAACAACCAACCGCCAAATGACACGTCCTGTTTTGCCTTCCAAAGACGGCTAACAAAGCGAGAAAGGATACAATGACAACGCTGCCCTCCCTAGAATTCCATGGTCTGGATGACAGATGCGTGGGCGCTTTCGAGACAAAATTCCAAAACAAATGAGGAATCCTTTCAACAAAGTGTCGATGGCGACGAGCCCTCCCAGATTCTGGCTTGATTAACGTCTCTCAGAACTGTTACACTTGCATAAGTCCGAACCGCCACATTTTGGAAATTATTAATGCTCGTCAACGGCCCAACTTTTCAACCGTTATGGCAGTGTCAACCGTCATTGGATAATGACGTCAGTCAGCCTCGGGAGCAGAAGATGTGCACAACGGCAAATTCGAAAGACCAGAAAACCAGAACAAACACCTTCTTCTTCATCATCCTGATGGCACTATTCCGATCAAGGTCCTCTGATTGCTCTCATCACTACCAGGTATGGCCAATGAACCTATGCTAAAGAGAGTTCCCTTACATATACAATGAGACTACAGTATGTGCTGCTTCTGGAGATCCTTCTCTTGACACCACCGACGGCCTTGGCCTCCTTTACTCATTTCTATCATCGGCTGCAATCCCACCAAGAAGTCATCCTTCCTGCTACTACATGTAGAGGGGCATTCCTACCCACAGCCACAACACCATGTACAGTGCTATCGGCATTTCCCAACCTATTTGCCAATGGTGAAGACCCGCACGCTCAAAAGCTACGGGAACTGAGCAGCCGGTTACAAGGTCTTCAGGAAGATCAAGCCGCCAAGGAAGACGGCTATCAAGCCAGAATTCGAACCATTGTGGAAGAAATGGGGTAAGTCAAGTCAAGTCAGTCAGTCATTTACAGAATGATGTACAAGATCACACAGCTCAGCCTGTTCTATTATTATTACTATCATTATTATAATAGTCAAAGAGAAAAAGACTTGCTGGAGAAAATCCAGTACTTTGCCAATCAACTTCAGCAATATCGGTTCGATGCACAGAAAACACTGTTGGCGGCCAAGGAGGCATCTTCGAATAAGGAACGGAAATTAGACCAAGAAATTCGAACCTACCAATTCAAACTGGCATCGCTCCAAGAGGATTATCGCAAGGCACAATCACTGGCGGGTCGACTCAAGGGAGAACGACGAGACTTGGAACGAGACTTACGCAAATTACGCCAAACCTACCAACGAGAATTATCCTATTGGGAAACACGGTACGAACGAGAACAAGATAAACTCGTCAAGGAACAAGAAAAGAATAGAGTCTTGCAATCACAGGCTCAAGAATCGGCAAAACAACGCGAATTGGAGCGATTGCAGGATTATCGAAACGCCGAACGCAAAATTCAGACCGTCTACGAAACGCACCTAGGTCAAATGGAGAAATTGTTGGGAGATGTCGCCGTCGAGGCGCAAAACAGTGTCGTGTACATGCAAGAGCTCGAAGCCGAACGATACAGTTTGCGCCAATTGACGGTGCAATCCTACAAATTGCTATCCACGCGCTTTTTGGCAAGTGCCGCCAAAGTATTGCGCAAAAAGAGTAGTACGAAAGCGAAGGAAGAAGAAGGGGCGCTGATTTGAGAGCGAGAAAGATATACATCCATCAAAAAATGATGATATCATACCTTACCAATCCACAGTCAGGGCTTCCATACAACGTACGTGAGTGACAGTCTCGTGGTCTCAGCTGTCTTGGAGAGAAAAACAACACGACAACACTTGTTGAAGATTGCTTGAATGGAATCTGCTGGGTTGCTTTTGGGACGTTTCGGTACCCCTTGTTCTTGACTTTGACAGGCTTTGCTAGGATTCCAAATCATCGTGGGGATACGTTCGTGGTCATTGTTTACTTGGCGACAACCACATATCGTATGTGTATGGCAGCAGAGAAGATCCTTTGCGACAACTGCCATGGTGCACAAAAAGATCGTAATTTTGGAAGCTAAGTAGTGGTAGTTAGTTACTGTGACATCTATTATGCATATTGTACATGTAGGACGAGGAGTATTAGTAGCTATGTAATTGCTGCCTTGAAGACAGGAACCATATCCAGGGTGAGTTCGACGTTAGCCTGGCGCACTCCACTTGTACCAGGTACCATTTCACATATCCCTTCGTCCATCTTGTACTGTAATGTACATGTGAAGGCTGTAGATGAGTCTACACCTTCCCCTACATCCCAAAACGCCACCTCATCATGTTTTCTTCCAAGCCACTTCAGAGGGAGAAAAGGGCGTGGAGGGAGAACAGAGGCACAGCTACTATTAAAAATTCCACTCCTCTTTTATTGCCATATTGAATCCCCTTTCAACTTGAACTTCCAGCCAGAGATTCAATCTTGCCTTTGCCCTTGTTGCTTAAAACGAATATAGCTAGCTTGTGCCGGTAGGGCATAGTTGCCATTGAAAGAACCATACTTGATGGGTACATGAACAGCACATGTAGCTGGTGACCATCTGTTGGGACAACTTATCATCATTTAGTTTGGGATATCATCACTTGCACCATATGAGCAATGCATGTTCTTTTCCCCAGCCACATGTGTCCAGGTGTTGGCATTTTAGTTGGACTATGTGTTTGCAAGGTGAAATTCCAGATGTTGGAACCTGTAGATCCTCCAAGACATGGGCCATTTGTTGGCCCAGCCAGGAGGGGCCAGTTGTGGGGCCAGACATACCGGTATGACCAGGTGTTGAGCAAGGAGATGGTCCTTATGGGTCCTAGCTAGAGCCAGATGTAGGCCCTTATGAGGAGTTGGGCTAGCCAGAGCCAGGTGTAGATCCAGGTGTTCATCCTGTTGACCCAGGAGATTGAGGAGGCGGTGGTCGTTGTAAGTGCTGGAGTGGATCCTGGATCCATGGAGTTGAGTCAGATGTTAGCACTGGTGTTGACCAGGGAGATTGAGGAGGTGTTGGGCCTTATTGTTGGAAGTAGGTGTTGGACCTGGACTCCCTTGGGTCAAGTTTAGAGGGAAATTTTGTCTCCATGAGACGACGCACCTTTTGGTTACCCCCTCAGTTGCACTCTGAAATCGATTGGCTCGCGTTTACTGTGTAAATTAGTGTACCCGCACTTCAGTTGCAGAATCAACGGTCATGTGCTTCGAAAGATTTAGATCGATTCGTGGATAAAAAGAACCGTTGAAGTTACTAAGGTTAAGGCTAAAGTCCATTATTGAAGGCGCAGCACTGACTTCTCTCCCTCATTCAATTCCTATGGTAAACAGGAGAGAAATCCGAGCTTGGCCGACAAGAGCGGTGTTGAATCGACCGATCGATCGAACGACTGGTACGGAGGTAAGCATACCTATAATCAAGAGTGTTATTGAAGGTGCAGATTCGAAAGCCATCCCTCATTGAATTTCTATGGACTGCGGGAAGGCAGTCAGATCTCGGCCATCAACAGGTGAGTTGTTTTATTTATTCGAGTCGATCGTTCGCACCTCTATTATCTCTACCGATATTATCAAGCCTCACTCAAGCCGTCAGTCTCCGGTGCAGAATGGAAAGCCATCCCTCATTGAATCCTATGGTCGGTGGGATGGCAGTCAGTTCTCGGCCCATGACGGCCAAGTTGGTGCAATTTGAAAAACAATGGTAAGTCTCCGGTCGTCTGCAGTTGAGCACAGAAAACAAAACTCATATCTATTTGTTGTTTTCTCTGCTGCACTGCTGACGGCCGATGAGCTACCATTGTCGACGATCGATCGCTCCGGATAACAAGAGGAGAGGCTACCGCTACGGAGGAGGAGGCTCTGTTAACTCCAGCCCTACCAACAGCATGAACGGAGGAAATCGTCGTCGAGTCATTGAAAAGCAACAAGAGGAGGAGGCTACACGACAACTCGAAACGCACAGAGGAGGTGGATCCTACTACTGGATCATCCCTCCAGTGTTATTCCTAGTGTTTGGTGGTATTCCTGTGTCGGTACCCTTTCCTTTGCGCAAGTCCTCGGGCGAACGACTTGCTTTTTTCGTACGATAAAGATAGATAGATAACTCGTAAGATAATAGATCATCGATTACCGACCAATAGACCACTCCTTTCATTAGATAGACACCTTATAGATCAATAGGATTGACAATCTTCGTTGTGCATGTATTCGTCATAAGATCAAATAGGTACTTACCGAGTGTAGCGAGCAAAGCGAACCTGAGTGTGTTCGGTACTGTTGCCACTGTCGCCGATGTAACTATACGCAGCCGGCTACAATGGCGGATTGACAATTTCGGTTGTGCATGTATTCGTCATAAGGAACATGAGAAGTTACGGAGTGTAGCGAGCAAAGCCGAACCTGAGTGTGTTCGGTACTGTTGCCACTGTCGCCGATGTAGCTATACGACAGCCGGCTACAATGGCTTGATTGACAATTTCGTTGGCATGTATTGTCATAAGGATACATTGCGAGGTAACGGAGTGTAGCGAGCAAAGCCGAACCTGAGTGTGTTCGTACTGTTGCCACTGTCGCCGATGTAGCTATACGACAGCCGCTACAATGGCTGGATTGACAATTTCGTTGTGCATTTATTGTCATAAGGTACATTGCGAGGTAACGGAGTGTGGCGAGCAAAGCCGAACTGAGTGTGTTCGGTATGTTGCCACTGTCGCGATGTAGCTATACGACAGCCGGCTACAATGGCTTGATTGACAATCTTCGGTTGCGATGTATTCGTCATAAGGATACATTGGAGTACGAGTGTAGCGAGCAAGCCGAACCTGAGTGTGTTGGTACTGTTGCCACTGTCGCCATGTAGCTATACGACAGCCGGCTACAATGGCTTGATTGACAATTTCGGTTGTGCATGTATTTGTCATGAGGATCCAATACGAGGTACTGTACCGGAGTGTAGCGAGCAAAGCGAACCTGAGTGTGTTCGTACTGTGCCACTGTGCCGATGTAACTATAGCACCGGCTCAATGGCTGGATTGACAATCTTCGGTTGTGCATGTATTCGTCATAAGGATCCAAAACGAGGTACTTGTACTGGAGTACTGAGCTGGAACTAAGGAATCAAGAGACGAACGCTGAAAAAAACCGAATGATCCAGATTTGTATGTTCATTAGAGGGAGAGTTTTAGAATTTTATGAAGCGTGACTTGAATCTCTGTTCAATCCCCTTCAACCATTCTCGATCCATCCAACTGTCCACTCTCGCCGCCACAAAAGTCTACGGCGAGTGCAGTACCGTACCGGAGTGGGCGCCGCGGAAGAGCCCCAAGTAGATGAGTGACATTGGACGTCGACCACAAGCTAAGCTCTATCGCTATCGGGCTATCGTTGATTGATTGATGTATCATTGATGCCCTCATTCTCACACGCATTCATCCGCAAACACGAGCAAACACAAGAACCAACGAAAGAAAGCCAAGGAAGGTTAAGAAGCTAAGAAGCTACCCAAAAGGAAAGGCAGGCAAGGGTATATCGGATATCGATCGCCAGTGTGGCCCAGAGAGTAGAGCAGCTCCTAGCTATCGGAGTCAGCGCATAAGAAACGGTCAAGCTCCAGCCAGCAAGCAAGATGACAAGAAGAAGTCCAAGTTTTGGTCGGTTTCGATTGGGATCTCTAGCACTAGTATGCTGTTCCTTTTTCAGTACGATCCTACTACGAGCCGCAGTGACAACGTCCACCACTACCACCAGTGGTAGCAGTTCTCACTCGGCCCATTTTGATGCTTCCAATGGAAACGTGGTGAGCGTCGAGAATGAAAATGTTCAGATGCGACTGACGCTCCGCCAAGACATTCTGGATCGAGCTCCTTCCAGTCAGTTGACCTTCTCCCAAGTCGAAGTCATGAATATGGTGAGTTTAATGAGTTGTGGTGTGGATGCTCTAATCTATCTTTCTGATCTTTGTACTGTATACCCATTTGATTTGATTTGATCCATGCTACCCCATTATCTATCTACCTGCCTGTTCTGACCAAACCCCAACAATCAGCACACTAGTGATTCCGTCACTATCACATCCATCCAAACCACACCCGAAGAAACACTACTGATCCGCTATGATCCTCAAGATGACCAACAAACAAACCAGCAGCAACCACCACCACACCAGTGGATGATGATCAAGATATATTTGCTTCTTCCACAACCAGCAGCAGTAGTAGTAGCTGGGATCAACGATCTATACCCCAACAAATCCATACTGCCTCTTCCCCACCAGGAAAAGCTATTGTACTACAACCGGGACAAATAGCCGTTATACCTCTCACATATCTACCACGCTATCCATGTACTCTGGATAACAATGATATTGGTGGGGACAGGATCATGGAAGACTATTGGTATGTCCAACAAGCACCGTATCAAATAGCATTCTCCTCAACCTTTGATCCGGATGATGAAAACTTTTCACTCCAACAACCACCGCCACCCAAATTGACCAAAGTCTTTAGTGGAACGGCAAGAGCGGATTGGGAACAAGTAGTACGAGATATGCCACCGCAGGAACGTAGTAATTGGTTGGAGCAACAGCAACAACAACAACGACAACACAGATCCAACAGCGGCGACAGTAAGAATATCCTGGATGCGTTACACCTACAATACCAGCAATCATCATCGTCATCTTCACCAGAACAATCGACAGAAGAATGGGTATTTGAAGTACGAACCACGGTCCTGATACAGAGTTCACGTGGGACGGTCCAATTGCCTATTCGAGCATCTAGTAGACGTCAAAATCCTTATGGAGTTCCCGATGTCATTTATTTTGATGAGGAGGCGGATGACGACACGTATAGCAACAATAACACTACCCAAAGTGGTGGGAAGAGTCGCAAGGACAATACGAAGCGTCAGCAGCAGCAGCAATCCAAGAAAAAGACTGCGGCCACCACGGCGACTAGTACCTCCACCAAGGGAGTCCTGTGGTTGGATACAGATTTGGCGCCGGCAGAAACCCCAGCGGATACGGAAGAGGACGACGACGATGAAATATCGCCCAGTACATCGAGGGATTGCTACAATCTATTCATGACCAATCCTAGCTCGACCGAAGACTTGCGAGTGTCGGAAGTCTTCCTCAGTCGTCCGGATTTGATGAATTTGCAAATTCATGGACAACTACGTGCACCATCCCAAACCGTCACTCAGTGGTGGAATACTGCTCCGAGACAAGATGGTCAGGAGAAGGAAATACCCGACCAACTGGGAGCACTATTGATTGAACCTGGAGAACAAAGATACGTGGTGACAGTGTGCACTGCGGGTAATACGTCAGCGTACGGCGATTACTCCTATGACAGCAAACTCAACGACGAGGATGAGTTTGGACCTATCGTGGTCGACGAGGGTGAAGAAAACGTCAAAGGTACCTTTGCTAGTGCTGCCAGGACAGCTGCGAGAGCTCTGCTCATGGCATCGTCCGCAAAGTTCAGCTTGGGATTCATCCATATCAAAACAGAAGCCGGAGAGAACTTTTTTGTGGCTTTGGAGAGATTGCGGAAGCAGTGCCGAACTTCGGCAGGTGGTGCCGGTAGTGGTACCCCCAATGACAGGAACAATCCGCAATCATCTCCCAGTTTGGCCCCCGCTGAGCACCCGAGCAAACAACAAGTCTATCCACCTTCGTATCATCATGCATTGTATCAGATGGAAATGCAACCCACCGAAGAACTTGTGTCTCTCTACGACAAAGCGTCCACGGTGGCGGCACCGGCAACGCCACTTGTCACGAGTGCATTGCAATCGATACCGCCCCGTGTGGACTTTTCCTTGCTGTCCAGTTCAAGTCCTACCGTAGTCTCATATTTGAGTATTCACAATCCTAAGGATTATCCCATCAAAATCATGAGATCTGGTGTCGCTGTGGAGATTGAAGATGAACTGGATTCCAGCCAGCCAAATCCGGAAGAGCTTGGTTTGCATATGAGCGTCAAAATAAAGAACTCGTACTTGGAACCGAATGCGGTTACCAAAGAGGCGCTCAAGATAACCTGCAGCATCCGGTGGGATCGTTTCCAGTCACATAATCTGGAGTCATTGTTCTTTCATGGAAACGCTATATTGAGAGCCACTGCGCACGTTGACTTTGATTACAACCAGTGGATTAAGAACTTGGTCACCACAAACTCCAAGAGACAACAGGGCAAAATCTTGATAGCCAATGATTACGCAGAGCCCGGTAAAGCGGATGCCAACAGCAAACAAACTGAATTCGTGTTGGAGATCCCGTTGTCTGTGTCCATGGTGCAGGGCAAAATTGGGATCATGATTCATCGGACTTCCCACCCATTTCCACATCTGTGGGCAGTCCAGTCTTGGCAGGAGGGATTGGGAAGTGTTTCCAGCATATTCTATCCGCAAAAACCATTCGATATCCGCGCGGAACTCGATTCTGGTGAAGGCCCGTTGACTGAACCTATATTTGGTCAGGAGGGAATCGAGCACAAGCTACGGATATTTGCCAACATCAACATTCCTTCGCGAGCCGGTAACAGACATGATGATTACCAACCACAATCACTACAATTAGCAAGTGCTACAGTGCTGGACGAGGATGAGGAGCAGGGCGATGACTCTTCTGGTGAATCAGGGCAAAATGATGACATCTGTGGACGTTTTCACGTTTCCGTGGGTCCTCCTCCGCATGACGATTTCCCGTTTCATGGATTCAACGATGTTGGTTTGGTGCACATAGAATACAGCTTTCCCGATCCAGCAGAGACGGAGGTAGATGCTTCATCTGAGGACGAAATAGAGGACAACGGGTTTCCTGCATACCCCAAGTACTGTTATTTGTCCCTCACAACGGACCCCTACACTGAATTGCATCAGATTCCTTTGATTGTGTATCCGGGCCAAACCGAAATAACCGCCACGCAGGCCCCAGATAGCATGTTGCAGTCCAAGCACAAGCGGAAGAAAAACAGGAAGAAGAAACGGAAGAAAAATAAACCAAAGGAAAAGGATGTTGAGGCTGTTGACGTCGAGGCGTCTGGTGCCAATTCTCACGCGATCGTCGGATTCGATGGGCTTCTCGACTGGTTTCAGACAACAACAGTAGGGGAATCACTGAAGAATTTCTTGGTGAACACCAGCGACCGCGACTGGGGATGGAGCAAGCGTCAAAACGACGAACAGCTGCTACGAAAATATGTGGCAAGTCTATGTGGCAAGTCCATGAATTTGAGGACTGCCCACCTCCGGCCCATTCTGATGAAGGTTGGTGCCATTAGACACGGAACAGTCGAGAGTTCTTCTTTCTACCTGACGAACCACAATCCTATTCCCCTTCTCGTCAGTGTTGACGTGGGCGAAGTGGAGGGGATGAGCATTTCTCTGGCGAGGACTCCCACTCGTGGACAGGGCGATGGACAGAACATCCTCGACCACTTTCCTAAGCGGCGAAACAGTGCCATGGGCGGTCCCTTTCAACATCTTGTCGCCGAAGGAGAGTACGAAGGGCATCCCTTGGAAGGTTTGAGAAAGTTTTTGAAAACGACCGACGTTGCGCAGGAGTTTCTCAGTGTTTTTCGCTATCGAGACGCAATCTCTCTGAGCCATCCTTCGGTCGATCGTCAGCCTCTTCTTGATACGCTATACAAAAAGTACGCCTTTGGCGAATTTCATCGGGACCCCTTGCCGATTCGATTTGGTCAAGATGGTTGGTCTCGTTGTAGACGACGGAAGAAGGGCCAAAGGTCGTCGCGACAATTCGTGGAGCCCGATTACGAGTACAACTCAACGAGCACTTATAGCGACGATGAAGGTCTCTACTTGTCAGACGAATACAATACCCGCACAATCAGAGCAGGCAGGGGGCCTCTGATGGTATCAGACGATTACAGCACACCCAGGCCGTTGAAGGTGTGCTGGGATAAGGTCGCGGAACCAATGGAATATCCGTCCGATGGCACCTACACGATAATCCCCCCCGGCTCTGTTGCGCGGTTTGAAGTGAAGTTGCATGCTCCGCCGAAATCAATGCTCAAAGACGACATTACTCGGTTTCTATCCACCGGATTAGTTTTGTCAACTGATCACGGAGAGATACTGCCAATATTTGTGTCATTCGAGGCCTTGCTTGGTGAGGTGCAGGTGGCGAAGCCGAAGGCAGCGAAGCCCGGAAGCCAGTCTATTCCTCCTCAATGTGCAAGAGCAGACTCAGGGAAGAAACACTCAGGGAAGGCACACTCAGGGAAAAAGGATACTTCGACAAGCAATGCCACAGTTATGCAGGTGCCAGCGAACCTCTTTCATGAAGCTCTACATGATCTAGGTGATCAGCTTAGCACTACCGACAACCAAGTCTGTGCAGGACTTGACCCAACCAGACATGACCAAGCTCTGCCATTACGCCTTAAATCGTCCTTCTCGCGCGATACTCGATTGGTTGGTGTTTCAAGTTGTAACCCATGGTTTGAGGTTACCGTAGACGAGGATGACGGATCTCGCCCATTCTTGCCTGGGTACCGTGAAGCGGGTTATCAGAAAATTGTGGACATTGGCGCAGTGAGAAGTACAATTCGTTGCAATTCCAGGTGGAGCTACATTTCGAAGCCAGCTTATCCATCGTTCTATCAGTGTGCTCTAAAATGGCTGTCAGAGCGATCAGAGCTTCAACCAGGTGGGTGCGGAGTATCAACATCCACAAGAAGCACCAGTTCCAATGATGATAGCAACATGGTGCATGTAGCTGAACACAGCGGAGTAAGGCGAGCAGTCAAAGCCTTTGAGAAAGCGCTGTTGGTGTCGAGTTTTGCATTTGGGAGCAGTCGCAATGAGACTTCCTCGGTTAGCACGATCAGTCAAAACGAGAACAAGCGGAGGCTGCCGTCTGGGGATGGTCTGGTGCCCCCCTTGGTCCTCGATGTTTTTGCAGAAGCTTGGGATGCTTGGAGGGTCGTTGCAGACTACGGTTTGCGGAAGCTCAGTTCGACTTTAAAGGCTACGATTGAATATGACTCTGTTGGACGACATCCCGGAAAGATTTCAAATGCCCAAAACCTGTCTGTGTCAATGCGTGATATGATTCTCCAGACCGTTTTGGCAGCCCCAAAGTTGTTCGATTGTCTCAGAGCCACCGAAAGTGACGCGATTGCTGACGCCGTCATTGGAGATGACGATTCACCGTCCGTGGTGGAATTCACGCCAACCCGGGTTGCCGATGTGTCGTCTCTTACAATTCCTCTGCGAAATCCTACAGCAGTGCCTGTTCGCGTACGCCTAGTGACTGTCGCCCCGCCAAAGAGGAAAAACGCTTCTGCAAACAGTGGCACTAGCGAGAAAGATCCGGTGAAAGCAAAATTTTCCGCGGAAGAAGAAGTCAGGAACGCATTTATAAAATCCAGCTCCCCGCCGTTTGTTCAGAACAAGAAGCTGAACACCACAACGCAACATTATCATGCTGGAGTTATCGCGGAGCAGCTTTGGTGGGATGGAGCTGGAGGTTATTTCCTTGCTGACGAATATGGAGATCTCGTTCGCTCCCACCACAACATCCGCATCATGGCTGGTGCTGGGGCCCATGTGAGCCTAGCGAACCCGTCTCTACATTCCAATGTAGCGCTTCTTGTTGGATGCGGTGCGCGATGTGGGGTCAGAGACGAGAAGCACTCTCCGTTCATGCAAGACGGCAATGAGTCGAAATTGACCAGCCCACTGGGGGCATCCGCCGCTGCAGGCATCACATTATCAGGCCGGATAAGGGCCAATCTCCCTCAATTGAACGGCAGATCTTCGGAGGAACCAGTGTTTGCGGCCGGAGCTGCTTCTCCTGGAGGAATGGGCGGCGGCCCTGCAGCATTTGCTATTCCATTCTCTGCGCTGGACGAAGTTGTGATCCCTCCGTTTGGCGAGGCCGAGATTGGGCCGGTTTTGTTTCGGCCTCCGGGACGTCACAGCGTACATGGCTGTCAGTCCGCGTCGGATAGTCGAATAGTCTCGATGGCTGGAAACGCAGAGAGATCCAAGGCCTGCGGCGAGAACGTTTATGAATCGATGATTTTCCTGGAGAATTCTTTGACTGGGCTCGAAAGAATCTCTCTAAGGGGAAAGGCTCTTTGGGAAAGATTGGTCTTCTTGGACCCACCTCCTGCTGATACGCACCTAGGCGATGAGTTTGGCGACGTCGAGCTAAGGTATGGTCATTCTGCATTGATTTTTTCCGGCAGCAAATCAACCGGAGAAGCAACCTCGCATCAGTTGGGGCCAACAGTTCCTGGATCCGTCATCAAGGAAGTGGTTGTCCACAATCCAGGCGACACAACCATGGACTTCGAAAGCGTGTATTTGTCAGATACATCAAAACTCCACTACAAACACTCTACATCCATGTCATACCGAAAGCATGACAATAAGTGTTCAATGAGTCAGTTTCGGTTGTTGAATTGCGTCGACAGTGCAAGTGACGCCGAGGACGGTGAAGGTATCCAGAGTGTCAACGATGGCTTTTCCCTTGATCCTGGCGAAAGCATTTCTCTTTTTGTTGAGCACTTCCCTGACTGTAAGAAGCCTCATGACTTCATTGCCGTGAATCTTGAAAGACGTCGGCAAACAGACATATCTCCACCGAAAGGCAGGTTTGGACTTTTGTCTTCTGCGGGAAACATGCAAGAACCGCAAAGAAGAGTTGGTATGGAGATGAACGATCATTTCAGGCGGCGCAAGTTTCAGCTTCTCGTAGGATATGAAATGTCGGACGACGAGTTCAAGTCCTGCGCACCTGTTCAACGCTGGGGGTTGAACGTGCGTCGAGTGAATCGCGGTGTGCGCTGTTCAACAAAGAAGAAAGGATGCAAGGAAAGCTGGTTCTCCAGGATGAATCATCGCATCAGGTGGTACGGTGTCATGACACTTGGCACCGTCGTGCTCTCAGGATGCATAGCCTTTTCATACGCAGCTATTTACAAGGGGTATTTATTCAGGCGGCAATCAACTCTTTTCTTCGCATTCAATCTGACAGGCCGCCGCAAGACTCCCGACAACGGCGCCAGTGACAAGCCATTAACGCAACCCGGTGGACGTGGAAACTGGGCGGCTGCGTTCCGCTGTTTGGCGCGAGCCGATCCATCTTCTTCAGATCTGCAAACGCTCGGCCGTGAGCAGATTCGTCATGTGCTTCTTGGTCGCTACCGCACTTTGGGTGTTTTGTCTCCTCAGTGCCTATCTAACAATGGTGTTTTCAACCGTGAAAGAGGCGGTGTTGCTACTAGCGGCAGTCCTTCTAGACAGGTTGGAGGGAAGGATGGCCAGGTTTCGAGCGGCGACCGAGCTCGTACATTAAGCGACGCGATCTACAGGCACATGGCTGTTCACCAGGACCCCCATCTTCAAAGCTCGCTTCCGCGTGGTTTGACATGGCGAGCTGCTGTTGGAAGAGGTATGAAGTTGCCGAACTTGTCCGAAAAGCCTGGACGCCTCCTGAGGACGTCGGAGCTGCTTCTTCAAAGAGTCGCGCGCGCTAAAGTTGAGGCTGACGCACCAGAGGACGAAGCAGTCGACCAATTGAATTATCATCACGATCTAGGCCAGGAAAGCTCTGAGGGATCACAACAAACCGATGATGTATCCGACGAGCAGCTCTCTGACGGAGACGAGTCGCAACTGCAGGAATCATTTGTGTCTGAGTTGAGCGAAGAGCAGGGACCAGAAACTCCTGATGACACTAGCGAGGAACCAGCACGTAGAGAACCGGCTGAAGATGCCAAGGCGGCATCCGGCATCGAGCCTATTCTGGACGAGCGCGCTCCTGTCCTCGTCGAAGAGGCGAAACCAGGGGAAATCCCAGGGGAAACGACCAGTGATACTGCTGAGATTCCAGTTGAAATCCCTGAGGAGATGCCAGTTGAAATTCCTGCTGAAATGCCAGTTGAAATCCCCGCTGAAATGCCAGTTGAAATCCCCGCTGAAATGCCAATTAAGCCACCGCCTTCGCCCGAGAGCCCGAAGGAAGAGAAGAAGATACCTGATGCACCTAACGGCAGTGAGAAACGAACGAAAATTGTGCCGGGAGCTGCTGAAGCCAGGGTACCCAAGCAGCAGAAACAAGAGAGCAACAAAAAGGAGACAGGGCCTGCCCCTCAGTCCCAGAAGAAGAAAGAGTCCAAGCGTGACAGGAGAAACCGGCACCAGAAAGCGCGAGCACCATCGCCATTCAAATCAGATGCTGTTGATGTTGAATCTGTTACAAGCTCCCAAGCAAAGCCGAACCAACCAAAGGAAAAAGTTAAGTCGACTGAAGCCAAGGGCCAGCCTCGTTCCGGCAAGAGCAAGGCAGCCGCAGAGAAACCGAAACAGGCAGGGAAAACTAGTCAGAACCAGCGTGATAAGAAGGCCAACACGGCTTCATTGGAACCCAAGAGTGGGAAGGGCCCTGAATCCGAAGACAAGAGTAACAACAAGCGACGAGCCAAGAAGACTGATGCATCTTCACAACAAAAGCAAGCCAAAGATACATCCAACAAAGGCGTTCAAAACGAAAAGAAGCCCAAGAGTGGCGCTTCAAAGAAAGGGAAGAAGGGCAAGGCCGCAAAGGGGACGCCCGCTGCCACCGTCCCGGCCCCTGCAGCAGCAGCGGCACAATCGCAATCAGTAGGAGAGAAAACTCAGCAAAACCCGCCAAAGCAGCTCGCAAGTCTCGCAGGAAGCTCTCCACCAAGACCCAAACCTACAGAGGCGCCACCTGTGCTTCGACCTCCCCCTGGCTTGGCTCCTCCCCCTGGGTTTGGTGCACAAGACGCGACAGCACCACCTCTTTCACGTCCTACCTATGAGGCCCCGCTTCTGCCACCTTCAGCATTCTTAAGCGATGCCAGCATATTGGGTAGTCCATCTTCGACAGTGCTGGGAACCCCCGCGAGATCATTGGGAGATTCCGCCTTTGGTGCTTTGAGTCCTTCCATCTTGAACGTTTCTGGCGAGCACGCTTCGTTAGCAGGAATCAACTCCGAAACGCCACTTCGTGGTGTGTCAAGCGTTTTGCCCAGATCAGCTGCAGGTGAGGCCTTGTTAGCCAGCGTCGCGAGCACCCCGCTCGATAGACCACTGGAGAGTCCCTTTCAACCGCCTCGCAATTCTGCCGATGGCTTTGACGTGATGGACTTTTTGGACAGCATATTGAACGAAGGAAACAGCGCACCTCCGCCAGAAGCTTCACCACAGCGGCCTTCTGATCCCTTCCTGGCTGGAAATAGAAGTCCAGTTCCGGCATTGGCATCCACCACTCCAGTCCAACCTCCCCTCACATCCACTCCTTTGCAGCCTCTGTTCTCATCCGATCCTTGGGCAACAGAAAGGCAACCACGTGCATTGGCTTATGGAATTACCATTGACGACAACGGTGGTGCAGCAAAGGATTTGACTTCGGCAAGCTTGCATTCTTTGGGCGAAAGCCAGGACAGCAACCCTATTCCGCTTTTGGACACCGCTGCTATCTTGAGTGTACCTGTTGTTGATGACGCGAGCGAAAACACCAACCCCATCCCACTTCTGAACACTGCACCCATCTTGTATGCTCGTGACGGAGACGACGACGATGATGACGAGGACAACGGTGACTCTTTCTATGCTAACCTCTTGGCCGGACTGAACCCCGACAACGATGACAATAGTGGATTCTAGCTAGGTCGCCAGACTAATAAGAGATCCAGTTTTGTCGTTGTCTGAAGTTGTTTGAAGTTGTTTGTACACTTGGGTTGGTTGGCAACAATAGCTTAGTTCTTAGCTCTCAAGAGAGAGAGAAAATACTGCGAACGAGGAGAGCTTTGTCACTTCACGGGAACCCACGACGGATACACATTTCAATACACTTTAAGCATTCTTCACCAGAGAATCGCTCGTCTGGGCAGAGAAGTCTTATACTAGCTCAGTAGCCAGCTAGAAACAGTTTGGCGCGAACAAAGCATCATCGACTGTCGCCTGGAACTCATCGGAACACCACAGCGATAGAATGTCGTGGCCAAAGCGGACGCAAGAATCATGATCAGCACAATCCAACGTGAACTGGGTGCCAGAACCACAGCCCTCACCACATCGTCCAAAGCAGTCACCATAAGCGTACTCCACATTTGGATCATGATCAGGCTCGTAACAGCTCCAAGCAGTGCCAGTCCAAAAATAAGTCCCTCCGGAACAAGGGCCAGAAGCGTGCATACTAATGTACGCATAGTAAGTGGTCCTGTCATCCCAACGATCATAATCCCAATCGTCGTGGGTTACCTGGACAAAGCTGTTCACGTATGGACAAATCGATGTATACGCCAACCGACGATAGTGGTGATGGCTGGTGGAGGGGGAAGACTCAGATTCCTCGGGCTTGCCTTCTTCGATCGCAACGGCACGTCGCGTTTTGCCATTGCCGGGAACCTCTGGAGCGGCGTCAGGCTGTGCACGGGGACCCTCGTCGCTCGAATCCACCGTGGCGTCGTAGTCAAACTCGAGGCCAAGAACGTCGGGCCACTCGGACAAGACGCGGGCTGCGCGGGCACCTTGAGTACCAACCTGGTCCACTTCATCGGTCGCAATGTCTCCAGCAGCTTCCAAAGCCTCTGCAATGGCCACAAGGGTTCCCTTCTCTTCAGCGTTAAGGATCTGATTTGGATTACCCAAAGGTCGGATCTGGATCTCTCCTGAGCGAGGGTTCGACTTGACTTGAATATGGAAGCCGGGGGCAACTCGATAGAGCAAAACATACTGACCGCCACCTTCGTCTGCGCCGTCCATGCCCTTGTCCGTATCAATGTCAACGCGGACGCCGTTTGCCGATTGAACTGCATTGACGTTTCGCAGTTGGCGCAAGTGCTGGTGGGCATGAGAAGAGCTTGGACTCTCGGGATGGCCTGAAGCCTCGGCAGAGGCAGCGGCTTTCATCCATGGTCCAGCAAGGACGACCGCAAGCTTAAGAGCTTTGATGAGTTTCATAGTTCCTTGTAATAATTACCCAGCTTCTGCTCCTTTTTGCGCTATTCAATTTTGTGAGCCAAGAAATGCAAGGATGGCTGCGTTGTTTGCTCGACAGCTGGCCCTTCAATTGAGCTTTTTAGTCAGGGTTTTGATGATTGATTTGGCGATCATTGGCAAGTAGCATCGCAATCCACGCGATTCACAGGCGGAAGAACACGTTGGGTTTGGTATGGTTCCACCTGGATCATGAATACACCTGGACCCCGAATAACATGGTACTCGAGTAGCAGCTAAAGAGCCGAAAGAAGATAGGATCTTGCATCCCCAGAGCTCTACTCTTGTACCACCCACCTGCTACATACCGGTGGCATAGTCAGCACCCAAAGCACAATGTGTTGGCATCTTGCACCAGTGCCGGTACATGCACGGTTGTACTGACATCTGACATGTCCCTCAGGGAATAAAATGCTATTGCGTTTGTACCAGCAATCTAAGGAAATAGGCAGGCTGCTATTTATCTAAATAGACTGGACTCCCATATAAGTATTTGCAAGTGCGACTCTTAAAATGCATTTCCGGTACACTCCTCACTCACACTTAAAAGATAAGCTGGGTTAAGATACCGGGTACTCAACTTTTTAGAAATGTTTAGATAACCCGGACACTCAGATTTCCCAAACCAGTAAGATAAGCTACAAGTACTGAGGTCTCAAATCCTAAGCTAATACTAAGACTATGCGGGGATTGAATGCAGCTAGTACCCACTATCTACCACATCACCATCTACATCCAAGTACTCCATATCCACATCTTAGGGTGCCTCCTGACCACGAAATCTTTGGTTTCATCAATTTTAGCTTTGCACCTTTGCCTTTTTGAGCTTTGGTGGTGGCTCCTCACTGTCTCAGGGAATGGTTAGTAGTAGGGTATGTAATAAAAGGTTCTACCAGGTAGTAGCCATAAGATATGAAAGATACTGAGATTGGGCTGCTTATAACGCAGTGTTGCTGTACCGGTAGCTGAATAGGTTAAGATACCTCCAGTACAGGACTAAGAATATAGTTATCTTATTGATGAGGCTGGATTGTAGTCAGTACCGGTACCAGTTCATGTACAGTAAAAACGTTGCACCAGCCTTCGCGGTACCTCCACCCTCGACGAGCAAGATTTGATCAGGATTTTACGATTTTACGTGTAGCGGTCAACACTCGGACCAAATCAGGGCGGCCCTCATTTATTTTTGAGAATGTCGACGAAGAGGTTGGCTCAAATTGAGTCAAGATACGAAAGCGGCTGCACAGGAAGCTGTTGAAGCAAGCGTTGTAGCTGTCAACGAAGGCAGCGTCTCGCGGCGACGTTTGCATTGCAGGAACGAGTCCTTCTCTATCCTTGTGGTTGGTGCTCTGGCTGACTCCTCGTCGCCAACACTTTTTGCGCTCCGTTCGGCTAGAGACAACGAGACTCTTCCTACTTCCGAAAGTTGATGGCGCCCCCTCCCCCAACCAAGTAGGACACAGTGAAGCCTTCAGGCCCACCCTCGAGATTGTGAGAGAGCGGGGAATGCTTCGTTGCTGATCATACATCAAATTTGCCCACTTTGGTTTTCCAACCCTGACATCGGCGAGCTTGGGGGGACTCAATGTGGATCAGGCAAGCTAGTAAAGGGAACGAAGCTAGGACGCTTCTAGTTCTCTGTGTCACTTTTTACTTTTACTTTTGCCGGAATAGCGTAAAGCAAAGTGCCATGGCATTTTTTGGCGACGCGGGAAGATTTGAGGTCATTGAAGTCACAGGTTTGAACCGTCTAGCCCTCCTGGCCAATCGCACTATTCATGTACTACGGAATGCAGGTTCTACAGAGCTGGTACGCTCAATCACGGATTGGCTACAACCAGCTCTATAATGTCGACGACATTGGAACCCGAAGATTGGCATCAACCTTCGCAAATCGCTTCCGGTAGCATCACTAGAGTATCGTCCTATCCGTTTGTGGCAGTAAACTTCATAATATAATTATGAACAAAATATTTGTATGATTCCCTGAGTACAGTTAGCTGCTGGGCTTGGGAGATTGTTTTGAGAAAGCTTTCGCCTTGGCTTTGGAAGCTGTCCTCCGTTCATCCTCAGCAAATACTTGTTGGGTTCTCTGGTGATCAAAATTCCATTGTAGCTGCCACATCTGTAGTGGCTTGTTTTGGGGACCAAGAAAGCACATTGTCAACCTTTGATGTATGGCAATCAATAGCTCGCTCATTGTATACTCAACCAAGACAGATCATTCAACAGACCTGAATGTACAACTGATTCTGCAACAGTGCTTCCAGCACTGCAGATTTCATCTGTGTAGGAACTTAACACGAAGACCGCTCGAGTGTTGACAAGAAGGCCAATGGTGTCAATCAGATGCATCCATTCATGGTATCCCCAAAAGGGATGATGTCCTCCCACCTGGCTAGCATATAGGTAGAATCCCAATGCATACAGCAGAGTGCAGCCCAGCAGACAGTAGAAGAACTCAGTGTCAGCCACATGTAGTCCATAGAACCAAATGACGGATGCAAATGCAACACCACAGCTTGCAAAGGCAATAGGACCAAGTCCAAAAAGGACACCAAAGAATGACAGCCCTACTGGGATTCCAACTGTCAGGAGTGAGAAAGAAAAGTCAGGCTTGCATGCCTCACTTTCCAACAGCTGGGGAGCCATGAATGAAGCCACACAAATAGCCAAGCTGCAAGACTTGTCTACTCGAGTAATGGCTTGCTCCAGGGCTGATGACTTCCAAGGAACCAAGTGTACCAAACTTGAAAACACAAACAAGCAGCTGATAGCAATCAATGCAGGTGCAGCAGGTGCTGGAATGTCATCCCAGTTCATGTAGACAAGTGGAAGAAAGATGAGAGTACAAACTCCATGCAACCATCCTCGGAAGAGTGGTCGTGGAGATCCATCAGCATATTGTTTGTGGAATGGCATGGTGTTGTTGTTGTGTTGTGTTGTGTTGTTTTGTTTTGTTTTGTTTTGTGTTGTGTTATAGGTTTTGAGTATGATTTTGTGAGAGTCTCTGACTCAACGCTGCGAGAGGCTTTGTTGCTGAGAGCAGAGTCGAGTCTCGAGTCAGTCAAGGTTGGCCTTATTTTTGAGAGCCTTCCGTGCACAGCCGCAAGGAAGCAAACATACGACTCGGTATCGGTAAGCTTACGGCCATACTTATGACTGCACTCGTAAGTAACACTGCTCAGCACCAAGTTTGTTGTGTGACAGGCTGACGTACGACTGCTCAACCCTTCGTCACAGGTCACGACCAACTTTGTTTAGGATCGTGCACCATTTGTTTAACACCGTGTTTTAATGTCGTGCCCCATTTGTTTATGGGTTGTGTCCTCCTTGTTCACCTTGCTTTGGTAGCCACGAGTGCTTTGAAAAGACGAAAGGATGCTTTCCCACTCTACAAACACCCATCATTTGCTATTTCGTACCGTCATCAGCTACAGTATTGTCGTTGAGCTGTTGTTGCATCGACCATGACGATTTCGTCAAAAGGATTTAGGTAGGTGCGTGCAATGAATGCCGCAGAATTTGTCTGGCCAAGCATGGCAAGGCGCAACAACCTACATCAGCAGCAACTATTTTTCCAAGGAGCCAAAGCGATTCGAGAGGACGAGCGATCCAGCCAGTTTCATGAATAAATCTGATTGTCAATACTTTCTTCCTGGCTGCACATGATGTGATTCCGTTGATAACCAAAACATCCTGACCATCCTAACTAACCTGGCACGGTACTGTGCATCGTACCTGGCAGCCATGCTTCATGAATTCGGCAACTATGGGAATCTGTACCACCAGCCAGCATCTCGAGGATGTGCTGCCTCGAAAGGGGCACAACGCTCGTTTATGCAAACTATGATACAGCCGTACGGCACATCAGGCTTGCACTACTCCTTTCCACTCGGATCTGCTCAAAGGGAAGGTGCCGCCCCAACCGCTCGTGCAACCTTGCACAAGATCTTGGATTGAGGATATCTTCAGTGCGGGGTCATTGATCGAGGACAAGGTCGCTACATGATCGAAAAGGATGCCGACAATGACACCATTGAAGAAGAAGGCGGGTTCGATGCAAAGTTTTGCAAAGCAGTTTCTGCAGCAATCTTTCTTGCGGATGGCGTTCATAATGGTACGACGTTGCAGCTGACAGGTGTATGCGGATGCAGCATGGAGACGCAAAGATTGCACTATGCGCACCTCTGCCGGTATCTGGATGTTACAGTGTGGACTGCAATGCCAGCTTTAGGATCTGAAGGCTTGCCTTGCGTTGTCGGTGCAGGTGAATTCCTGACTTTGTCATGGAAATGATCAATTCGCTTGTGCGCTTGGGCGTGAAAACCAGGTGGATGTGGTTGTGGGATGCAGGTTACTCTCGTGATGGGTTTCCTCCAGCCTGGATTGTCTTTTCTAGTCCTTACTTTTACGACAGTGATTCGATGAAGTCGTATGGTTTGGCTACTTCTTCAAATGAGGATGCGCGATGGTCTGACTTTCTATGGTGGATCCTTCAAGCGTTGCTGTACGCCGAAGAGATGGGCATCAGCAGCGAAACGTACGAGGAAATGCCGCCTGTGGGGTTGTTTGTCGAAGATCTGATCCCAATGTTTCAGAACGCGGTTCGCGCTGGTACGTCTCACAATGAACCTGTATAGGCTGTCATCCATGGAGAGGAATGCGGCTAACGTTGCGTCTTGTTGCTGCACTCGTTGCTCAGTGAGTTCCTATGGTGATACTACGACCGCACCCTGGAAAAGACCTGCCTCGGTCTGGAAGCGGCAATGAGCTGAATCTTGATCTTAGTGGGGCTCAGATCTATCCAACTTCGTTCGAGTGATTGATGGATACATGTACTTTCTGAGCGTCCCAAAGTTTTCTTAATATGTTACATACGATGTGATACCGTAGCTACATCTATTGTTGAGCTCGAAACCATTTTGGTCCACGATTTCCGGTCAGCCTCGACAAGTACGTTCCACGTTCCACGCCTGTCTAGCCTTCAACCTCTAACCTTAAAACCGGTTCAGGTACACCGGTACCACTCGTAGAGCTCTCGTGTTGGATTCGTGGGTTCTCCTGTTAGGAGGAGTGGGTTCGGCTTCCACTTTCTAATGAGTGGTCCGGTAAGAGAAACCAATGGTTAAACAAGGCAGCCAATGCAATAAGTAATAGGTTTTCCTTCAAGTTGAAGTAGCTTTTTTTACACGACATGGTTGCAGGATGATGATTGCAGCCAATGGGAAGCCCAGCTAGCTAGTACGGTAGAACCTTGAGGACTTGCATGGGAGCTCATCAACTACCAGATACCGTAGCTGCTCAACCCTCCGGCACATGCACAACCCCAAAAGTTAGTGCCCTCCACATCGTCTCACAATGATCGCCACCGGTATGCCCTATCCAACCCACAAGGATCAGCAGCACGGGAGCATCAGTACCGACTCTGAAGTCAACTCGCACTCTCAGATCACCACCAGCGCTGCTTCGATGAGCCGTCTCGCCGCCAACGCACGGGCTTTTCAATCGCTGCAACAACGACAGGCATCATCACATGGTGATACTACTACGATACGACACCACCCAGGCTGCCGCCAAGCAGACGGTGATATCTGTACATGTCAAGTCACGCAGTCTCTTGCGAAACAAGAGACGTTTGTGATTAACTGTCTTCGAGCGTCCGTCTTGATGGTCTTGGTGGTGACTGCCACTGGTCTAGCCATTGGTGTGCACCGCTACACCACCGAGACGGAGACAGAGAACTTTACAGATCACTTTGAACATGCCGCCCACCAAGTCATTGATTCGTTCCATGAGGTCGTGGAACGGAACATTGGCTCGGTGGCAACCATGTCATCGCTCATTACATCCTATGCACTACAGGCCAATTTGAGCTTTCCATTTGTCACCGTGCCACACTTTGAAGTGCTGGGATCACA